CAAAGGTCCTGAACACCAAGGTGAGGCTTCAGACACCTGGGGGCCATCCTGGCTCTGCCATTTACAGCCCTGTGACCTTGAGCTGCTCACCTTCTGTGAGCCTCCTCTGTAAACTAGGTCTAAAAATCCCCCTCCTAGAGTCAACAAAGACGCTCAGATAAGAAGGTGGACAGAGGCAAGAAGAGGGGCAGTTATGATACACACAGTCGCCTACCAGGGCTGGGACTCAAGTTTGTTTTGGGAAGGAGAGGGGACAAGACCTCATTCTCCCCTTCCCCTTAGAGGCTGGGCACAGCCTGGGTCCTTCAGGAGGGAAGACTGAAAGAGAGTCTTTACTCTGGGCTCCTGCTAATTCTCTTTGTTATTCTCTGGCCACCCTAGAGGCTGGGGGACAAGGGGAGGGAGAGATGAGGAGGGTTGCAGGGTGGCCTCTTCAGGTTAAGTGCAATAAAGGCCAATAGGAGATAACCATGAGGGTTTACCACATGCCTGTCCCCACCCCAGCTCTTTACCTGTCCTAACTCCATGGCTAATGATGAAATTTGGGCTGAGGTTTTAGGCAGCATGTCCAAGGTTACACAGCAAGTGGTGGAGCCAGTATCTGGCTTCAGTGCCCTCTGCTGACCTTGCAAATATCCCAGGACCCTGGGACTTGGGTTCCAGACCCAGCCTGCAGTGTGACCTTGGCCAAGTCACCTAACCGTACAAGGGATTAGTTTCCTTTCCCCATAAGGTGGGGATAATGTCCCACTCTCCTCTTGGGGTTATTGTGGAAAGACAAGGGGGCTAATGAACTCAAACCATGAGACACTCAACAGATACCTGGTACTAGCTTCTCAACAAAGAAGCTTCCCTATGCCTACTGGCCGCCCCAGCTCCTGAGGTGGCCCACCCAGGCACAGAGCCTGGAAGACAAAGGACCCGACAGGTCTCTGGGCAGAGACCGACTGACAACTTGGCGCCACCTAGTGGTGACTGGTGTGTGGTGCTTGGGGAGCAGGAGGCCCACGACTCTGGGATGCAGGGGTCTGAGCACCACCATTGGCCCTGTAGGGGTGAGCAAACTATGCCAGGATCTCAGAAAGGAGCAGGTCATGCCTCGCTAAACCCTCCCCTGGCCTCCGACTGAGGGTAGGGTGAAGGTGGGCCCTCCACCAGTCCCTCTGTCTCAGCCCCACCTCTTACTCCCTTTGGACAGCTCCGTGAACACCAAGTGGAGCGCACAGGGTTCCAGTTCCAGCTCTGCCACTGCCTAGCTCCCCAGGCCTCAGCTACCTCCTCTGCAAAATGGGAGTAAAAATCCCCACCTCTCAGGGGATGGCACTGTCCCTGAATTCTTTAAATATCAAATATTTTATGAAGTGTCTCCTTTCGAAAGTAATTGTGCTCAGTGCTTTGGTGCACGAAGACATCTAAGCCAGGTCTCTTGCTACTGTGGGGTCTCCAGTGTCTAGCCAGCACCTGGATAAATATTTGCGAAATGAATGAATGAATAAATGAACACACGAGACGGGCAGGAGGTCTCCTTTATCCCAGCGTGACAGGATATTACTGAGGATGTTTTCTTGGTTCTATCGGTCCTTATCCCTCCACCCCGCCCCAAATTCTAAGTGGGGTCACCAGGCTTATTTGTCTCAAATCTGGAGGCTATCTGAGGACACAGTGTTTCCTGGCTTTTGCATCCTAGGTCCACTTCCTTGAGGGGATTATGTTGGGGGTAAGGAGACTCAGAGATGAAGGTCTCCAAGACAGGGGAGGGGCCAGCGATCAGAGGGTCCCCTGGGAGTACCACAGGGAGATGCAGGGTTCCAGAGGGCATGGTGTGAGGCCCCCAGAGAGGTTATGGCTCGGGAAAGCCCTCCCTCACCCTGCCCCTGGGCCTGGGCAGAGTTATGGCCTGTGGATGCTGGTCACTGCGGGTGTCAGCAGCTACCATGAGGCCCTGGAGCTGAGAGGCCTGCCCCTATGAGGCCTACTCCTGCCTGTATGACCCTGTGGGTGGGGAGCCCCCAATCCTGACTGAGATAGGGGTTTCCCTACCCCCCCAGG